AAATTTATTATACCCTTACTCTGTCCTAGACATTGAGTTCTACCTGGATCCTTCCTCTTGGAAATTTTTTTTTTTTTTTTCCTGAAAATATACATGTATGGGAATTTTTTATATATATTTTGCATATGTATGTATATTTTCCACTAATAATGTCTATATATATATATATATATATATATATATATATATATATATATATATATATGTATGTATGTATGTATTGTGCAAGTAAGAAATTACAAACTATTCTGACCGAGTGTTTTAGCGTACTGACTTTGCTTTTCATTGCACTAAATAATGCTCCCTCGCACAGAAGCAGTAACCTGAACAATTTGTCCGAGCAGGCGTTTGCAACAGGGATTGGCTCGCCGCTATAGCAGAATGGTGTGCTTGGAAACGAGTATGACGTAATACCTTGAGATACAAGCGCACTGACATGCTAGTTTTTTAAGATACGAGCCGGAGTTCGGCCAATTTTTTGCCTTGAGGTATAAGGTAAAATTCGAGATACGAACAAGTTTCAGATAAGCATCGGCTTGTTGGTGCAGCTTTGAGAATATTTGCTCTTACACTACACGTATTCACCTCGCTCTGGAAGGATTTCTTTTGTGTTGTGATGTTTCTTTTTCTGTCGTAATCTTGTAAAATTCCTTTAGTGACAACAAAGGTCCGAAGAAAGTAAGTGTAAAGATCAGTGGTGAAAGGCCGGATACACATGATCTCGCTTGAGGTAAAGTGACGAATTATATAAAAAAAAAACATCTTGAAGACATAAGATTAATCGATTTGGCGAGACAGTATGAGCATTCTTCAGCAACGATAAATAAAAAATTATGAAATTACAAAATATTAAAAATTATTTACAGTAATGGCTAAAATATAAATGGTGTAAAAATGTATAATTAAGTGTTTAATTAATCTTCTGTATCGTAGACCAGGGTAGCAGTTGCTCAGATTTGTTAGCTGTTGCTGTCCATCTCTCTCGCTCGCTCTCGCTCTCTCTCTCTCTCTCTCTCTATATATATATATATATATATATATATATATATATATAAAGAACAGTAAGATATATAATCCGGTGTTCTTATTAATATTTTTTATTTTTATTTTTACAAAACAGTGCTCAATGTAAATTTACAGAACATAAATATTATAAATTAACTGATTTAAAATATGTTTTTTAGCTACACAGTGATAACCATGTTTCAAAAACTGAAGCTAAAATCTTCAAATTTAATTATGTAATTAAAAGCATTGGTTCCGTTTCATCTTCAAGCGAATTTTGGAATAACTTATTTTTTAAATTTACTGCGTTTTAAACGCACATATAAATTCATAATTTCCTGTTTCCATGGATACAGAGAAAGACAATCATTCAGACAGGGGCGGTAGCGTGTTCATTTTTATTAACTATTGCTGCATCAATTATGAGTTACGTTCGAAAAAGAGGTTAAGTTTAGGGAGGGTAGGAATGTATTTTTGAACGAATTCTGACATTCGTTAAACTTTTTCTTTTTTATCGGCAAAAAGGTTTTCGGCATTTTTTTTCATACTTATATACTTAAAGATTCTATCTAGGGGTGTTTGGGCTATAATACGTTTTATTTAACTACAATTTTAAAATATTTTTACTCTTAATTATTCATAGACTATATTTCTATTTAAAGCAAGTAAATGTAATTGAATTACTTAAATTATTTAAATTTTTTTCATATCAAATATAAGTATGTATATTACCAGCTCCCACTTTTCTATTCTATTTTTATTTTTATTTTTGAATATTATTTAAGGAAAAGCTTTAACAATGACAGAAAAGAATAGCTATTTCATTTCTCTGATTCAGTAATCGAATAGTATAGAATTAAACTATACTAAACTATGAAGTTCAGGTGTGATGTATGCCAACTGATGAAGCGGAAACAAAGAAAGATATGTATATCTCGTTTTTCTCTTTTACTTTATTGATTCTAAACAACATTACTTGTTTATTCATACGTTTTTGCTTCTAATGAATACACAAATATAAAAATTTAGAAAAATTAGGAAAAATAGGGTGATTTTTAGAGAGCTGTAATGGATCGGAAATATTCCCATTAATTTCAATGGAGAAAACTGATTTGAGATACTTTTCAGTTACGAGCTCAGCCTTGGAACGAATTAAACTCATATCTCAAGGCATTAATATATATATATATATATATATATATATATATATATATATATATATATATATATATTCATGAATTATTCACACAAAAACTAATGCAAAGGTTAATGATTTAAATGGCGAGACAACCATCATCGCAAACAATTCAAATCATATACAAAAACAATAAGTGCGACATTACTGTAATTATTGAACAATATAGTTCATGCCACTTTGACAGAAAATTTACCAGTAAAAAATTCGTTCATCACCATATATGAACGCAGAACCTTTAAAAATTTAAAATCAAACTCAGCGTTGCTTTTGCGCGCTCAAAACAGCAACTCATTTTTC